CACTAGTACATGGTGACCTATGTGGTCCAATTTCGCAACCCACGCCAGGAGGTAACTGGTATTTTTTACGCTAGTGGATGACTATAGCGGGTTTATGTGGCTAGTTCTACTATGTTCAAAAGACGACACACTGGAAGCTTTAATTTGGGTAGAATTTGTAAGAGAGCAGAAGTGGAGGTGGGTAAACAGGTAAAGGCCATCAGAATTGACAGGGGAGGCAAGTTTACTTCAAGGGAATTTGTTGATTTATGTGATGATTGTGGCGTCAAACACTTCATCATAGCTCCTTATTCACCCCAACAAACGGCGTGGTAGAAAGAAGAAACCAAACTATCATCAACATGGGTCGTAGCCTCCTGAAGAGCAACGGTATGACAAGTGTCTTATGGGGAGAAGCAGTGTGCACAACAGCATACTTGCTTAATAGAGCTCCAACAAAGAGTGTAGTTGGAAAAACTAAATATGAAGCGTGGTTTGGAAAGAAACCGAGCGTCAATCACCTGCTTCCTGCGCACATTTGGTTGCGTTGCATACACAAAAGTAACAAAATCAAATTTTCCCAAGTTGGCAGATCAGACTGTGCGTACTGTTATGCTTGGTTATGACTCAAGTTCAAAAGCCTATAGACTTTAACAGATACGCCACCAGCATCTCCAGAAGCTCTTACACCGTATATGTCAGTAACCCCTTCTGCATTGGAAGTGGTAGATGGTGGTGACCTATGGAAGAGACCCCTGAAAGCGCTGGTTCAGTTGGGCCACGAGGTTTTAGTAGCATCCAGGAGCTTATGGATATAGCTATTTAGGCTTTTAGGCTTCCATTTCCGATTGTTCATTTTAATAATGTAGGGTGGAACATACGAGACATTATCATCACTATCCTCTGAGTCTGTATGATCATGGTTGGCGTCCCAGGGCTATCTTCATGCTCATCCTCCAATTTTTTAGCATATTCGTTGATATGCTGTCCTTAGTAGCCACCACGACAAGATTTGTGGTATTTTCTGGCTCAACAACTTTTTTTTTTTTGATGAAATGTAAATTTGTATTAACACCCAAAGAAAAACTATACATCAAAAAGTTCAAGATCTCCTAAAACCCCCCACCCCTACCTAGTGTAGGGGTTAGGAGAGGTTTTTATTCGATCTAATCCAAAGTCAAAATTCAGAAAGCAGGGGCCTAAGTATACAATACCAAATGCCCAAAAGCAAAAAATCAATCGGTGCTGCCAACAGTGCACACACACAGATCATCAAAGTTTACGCAAATATTATGATCAACAAGAGGTTATAAATAACCCTAACCCAGGTGAGCAAAACTTCATGGGTGTTGCAAGGTGCAAACACATAAGTCCAGATGATGAGAGCCGCGGCCTCCCCACTTATAAGAAACAAGTCCATTCTTCAAAATCTGATCAAGTCATGTGGGTATATAGAGTAGAGAATCTTATACACCACATGTTTAGTCTTCACAATAATCTCTGTTTCCGTCTTCATGCTATCATCAAATCTACATGCATTCCTTGCCTGCCATATGTGATATGTCGTGGCACAGAATGCAAGTCGGACAGCTTTCGCCTTCAAGGTTGAACCTTTGTACTTCTTAAGTATCCATTTGACCGAGCTTTGCAGCGTGGTCATTTGGTTGTCCATGCCCATCCATTCCCTAATCTTACCCCATATCCTGCACGTAAATGGACAAAGAAAAAAGAGGTGTGACATTGTTTCCAAGTCACCCTTACAAAGGTCACATCTGTTAACTATATGCAAGTAGCCGAGGCTATCTTGAGTAGGTAGCCTATTTCTAAATGCAAGCCAAGTCATGAAAGAAAACTTTGGAGGGATGTATGATTTCCAGATAAAGCTCATCCACACCCTAACCGTCCCTTTAGTTCTCAATAATTCGTAAACTTTGCTTGAAATTAACTTGCCATTAATGGATCTAGAGGCTAAACCCATTATGGTATCATTTTGATTATTAAAACAGCCCTTAATTCTATCCCTTATTAATGTCAAACTCTTCAAGAAAATCGAAGCTCGGCTATGTGGGACGTAGTCCCACACACTCTTACCAATGAGGTAAACGCCGTTAATCCACTTCACCCAAAGAGTGTCCTTCTTTAAGTGAACATCCCAAAGTGTTCGGGAAAGAAGGGCTTGGTTCCACACCTTTGCGTTCCGTATGCCAAGCCCCCCTTCCTCTTTAGGAAGACATATATCATCCCACGCCACCTTGGCGTATTTCCCTCCCCAAAGGAAAATCCTACACATGGAAACAATACGATCAAGTATAGTCCGCGGCACGGGAAAGACTTGTAGCCAAAACGATTGGACCCCTTGGATCATCGATCGTATTAGCTCAATCTTCCCGGCATATGAAATTGATTTCGTATTCCAATCTCCCCTGGCTCAACAGCCTTCTTTACATCTAGTGTGGGAATAGGTGCTTCCCGGGGATTTTCATAGTTATTCTTCAAAAAACCTCTTCTGTCACTTTAGTAATTCCAAATCTTTCCCTACAGTCTTCTCGTTGTTATTCACTTCCTTCTTGGCAAGCTTTTTGCAAATAAATGGGTGGTGCCCATATTCTTTACAATGGAAACAGAAATTAGGGAAAGTTTCGTATACCACCATTTGTTTGAATACCTTTTGGAAAGGTAAACGTATGGTAAATGATAGCGGTAGTGGCTTTGAAACATCAACCTCGATTAGCACTCTAGCAAAATGGTGGTTAGTTTTTTCCTGGGTAACCTTGTCTGTAGTTAATGGGACACCAACCATAGATGCTATTTCGCTCATAGCCTCATCATTCCAAAGCTTAAACGGTAGATTCGGGAATTTAACCCAAATCGGTACCTTTCAAAATTCATCATCATCAAAGGAGAAATCATCAGAAAGTTCCTTAAGCTTAAGGGTTTCCCAAAAATATTATACGACCCTTCATTCGGTACTTTAGCTCTATCAACCTCATTTTGAAAATTGAAAATGACACTTAGTCATGGACTTGGGTCCGGCTCGGGCCTCGGCCCGGCTGGGCCTAATTTTTTTTATTGTGGACCCGAGACCGGCCCGGTGGTTAGCCGGTTACGGGTCGGGCCGGGCCACCTGCCCGGGTCGGGTTGATACAATTTTTTTTTCTTTCTTTTTTTCCTACTTATTTCTAGAAATGTTGCATATTAAAAACAAACTTCAGGTGCATTTATTTGAAATAAGAACTACCTTTGAGAATTGAGAAAAAAATTACAATATGAAATACATTTTCTAATAGTTTTTTTTACCCCCACCCCACCCGCCACCCACCCCCAAACCCCCAAAACCTGGGACCTCCCCCTTCCCCCTCCCAACGGCTATATAGCCGTTTGGGAGCCCTGCCCAACGGCTAGGGACTTGTTTGACTGCATGAAATATTTTTTTAAAAAAATTTGACCGTTAGGCCCAAACCGGGCCCAGACCCGGCCAGGCCGGGTCACCATTTGCCAAACGCGAGACCAGGTACCGGGTCAGGTCAGGTCAAAGCCCGATACCGGGACCGAAGGACCGGGCCAGGCCAGGCCCGCACAGTAGCGGGCCGGGCCGGTTCCCGAGCCGAGTGGCCCGAACCGGGTCCAAGACTAATGACACATCCCTTGTCATGGGACCTTATCACGCACCTCACACCCCATTCTTCTCTTAGTTCATAGATGGCTTTAAGGCCACGGAATCTTCTTGTGAAGCATCCAACAAGGCAGTGGTCCCACATATCGATCATGGATGGTAAAGCCCTCCGAGCGAAGTCCAAAGAGTTGCCTTTTGGCGGAACGTATTTCAGTTTGATGCCATGTGCCAGAGCTCGGTTGTCCTTGAAAAGGTTAGACCATGGTTTCACTGCTACTAGTATTTCTTTGGAATTAGTCACAACAATTGGAGCAGTCAGTAATTGGTTTGAAACCTCAATCTCACCATTTCCTTTTGGTTTGGCATCAGTGCTGGAAATCATCACCAGCTATGAAGCACGGATACTTCACTAGGGTGCCGTATCGGCGTATCGGAAACGTTCCTGTATCCAATACTCTAGGATACCTGTACCGTGCATTCTCAGGCCGTATCTGCAATTTTCAAAAGTTTCCATTTTTTGGTAATTATTTTAAAATTCCGGATACTCGTATCCTGATGGATACATGTATCAACTTTAAAAAAAAATCTTCCCAAAAAAACACTCAAAATTTACATAATAAAATTCTTATAAAATGAAAATCTAAAAATAATTTTTATCATTCTTGTATGTGGTACACAACTAATGGGCCTATTCATAATTCACACATCTCCTATCCCTTATTCTAATTATCCCTAGAAATTAATAACTCCAACGGAAATATGTATTAGAAATTTTAAAATATTGTTTTCTATCTTCATTATTCTTTCTAGAACTTTGAGTACTTGCACTTTTAATTTCAAAAATGTAGTTGTTTCACTTATTTCTCGTTTTAAATTAATGACTTATTGACTATATTTATATTTTAAGATGCACTAGTGTATATGAAAAAAATATGAATTTATTTCTAAGTATATCTTGAGAATGTAAAATGCGTCAATGACATGAATGAGTAGACGTCAGAGGAAAATATATGTGTATTTTTAAAAAAAATGTATTTTTAATATATATAAATACACCCCTTTAACTTTTAATATTTATAAATATAGCCTCGTATCTGTACCCTGTTTTTTTTGTCGTATCCCCGTACCCGTTTCCACGTTTCCGCGTTTCCGGGTACCCTTATTCGTCCTACATACGTCACCAGCACTCCACTAGCATCCTTGTTCCTTCCTCTAAGGATGTTTTCTTTTGGACCTATTTTCAGTCCCAGACTAGACCAGACCAGACTTCCGTAGTTATAAAATATACAGAGACCAGACGTTTACCAGACCAGACCAGTTCAGACCAGACCCGACCAGATCATACCAAACCAGATCAGACCAGACCATCAAATTTAAGTCTAAAAAACATCCTAACTGCCCAAGTTTAGCAGGAGGTAACTTTGAAGCAGGAGAATCATTTGCAGGCCCTGCCTTGGCAGAAAGTCCCACGCCAGTAGAACCCAGAGTGTGGAATTCATCGTCCAATCCATCAAGCAAATTGAAAGAAGCTTTGGACCTGGTAACCCGTCCCGTCTTTAAGACGTTTCCCCATTATTCATCTTCTTCCTTGCCATAACTCAAACAACAGTAGTCGCCCACATTCCAAACAAACAAAACAATCAGGTCTTCTGTGCGTCGAGCATCGAGCTACGCTGGAAAAGCGTACTGAGAACGATGAACAGTGTCCGACCTAGATAACAGCTAAACAACCTTTCCCCTACTCAAGAACAGGGCCAGTGAGTTCGTCTAAGGAAGATAAATTACACATAGACCAAAGAATCCAGCAACAAACACTTAAATCAATCCTGAAGGGAACAGGAATTTCCGCGATTTTTCCGTTGGATTGTGAGGTTTTGGCCGTGATTCAGGTTACAAAATTCAAATCCAGGCTTGGAAATGAACTCAGGTGTGAAGAGCGACCAAGACAACCCAAGAATCCGAGTTCAATCCATGATTCCAAACCAAATTTGCAGCGCCAGAGCCTGTACGGACGAAAAAGAGCTGGGTCGCAAGTGTACGGACGAAAAACTCTGTTAACACACGTCCAGCCACTTCCTCATTTTTGGGCACATTAGGATAGTGCTTTACTGGGAAGTTGGGAAGTTGCAACCATTTTTGTTGTTATAAATATCAGAAAATACCAAAAAGGCTCAAGTTGGTAGAGCCGCCCAAACATACTGGGTTCTTGTGTCCTGTTTAGTTTCCTTTTGCTTATTCCTTCAGAATTTCAGTGAATGCACACAAACTGTTTGTGTATTTGCTTAGCCAAATTCCTGAGTGTTATTTGAAAGTTTTTCGGTGGTGTAATCTCATTTCTTTTAAGCCAAAAAATAGTGAGTCTTTGGCTCGCAAATGATGCAACTGTGTGCATGAAAGTGTATAGTTCAGAATCCAAGATACTACGTATAATTTTGCTGCTGAGTATTTTCATGGACAAGCTCTTCAAGTTACTGATAAGTTTAATTTCAATTAATGCAGATACTGTGGCTGGTTAGTAGTGCCAATTGATGCAGAACCCATGTCGCTTGATGAGAAGATAGCCTCACCTCATAGGATGTCACATGCTGCATTTTCAGTCCCACCTTACAAAAAACTTCACCCCCGAGGAGGCGATGAATCACCCGTGAGCTGTTCAACAATACTACAGCGCCACCGGTTCCTCCTTATCACCATGGGCTTGCTGACTTTCATCTGCATCGTCTATCTCTACTTTGCTGTCACCTTAGGATCTGATGACTCCTGCTCTGGGCTGACTGCTACTGAAAAGGCAGCTTCTCTTTTGGAGCGCAGCGGAGCTTCTCTGGCGGCAAAAGAAAAATTGTAGCTTTAGCATTACTATTATATTTGAGTATTTGTATTAGCTAATAAAAGGTTGTTAACTCGTAGTATTTGTAATATTAAATAAAATCTTATAATTACCAATGGGGGTTAGAGCAATTTAGGGATGAAAAAAATGTTGGTGTAACTGAGTAGCTTCATGAGGTGGTACACTATGGTTTAGCATTTGTACTCTATTCTCTTCAATAAAGCATTTTTACTTTATTAAATAAACCTTTTTTTTCGTTTTATTTCCGTCCAATCCCTCACATCCGCTCCCTTACGTTCCATACGCCTATCGTTAGGTTGAATACACCTCCCCATCGTCTCAGCCCTGTTGCTATATCGCGCGCTTGCCTCGTCCGCGCCCTAACCTCTCACTGAGCTGCTTCCACCATTCCCCATTGTCTCTTCCGTTTCTATGCTTCTTGTTGAAATTTACTCATCCCCTTCTTCATTAATATCATTGAGTGCCTTGTCGTTTATCGGTTATCGATTTTGTAGAGGCTCACGCACCAGCCCTTATGACTTCAACCATTATAAATGTGTTTTTATGCGCTTTGGGAAAAACTTCCGCGCTCCCACACCGCATTTGGTTTGTAAGATTCCTCTTCCCCCGCTTTCTTTGCCCTTGACTGTCAAGCGTTTTTTTTTTTGATGTTTTTTGCTCTGCTACTTACTCTCTACTCAAGAGGATATTAGGTGAGAATGAAAATATTAACATTGGATGATAATATGTTTTATGCACTTTGGGAAAACATTAAGAGAGAATGAAAATGGTATGGTTTAGTCTGAATGTGCCATGATGGATGATAAGCTTTAGGATGTTTTTACTTGGACTGTAATTTGTTAGTCTGGTCTGGTCTGGCTTCTTTGTATTTTTATAACTACCCAAGTCTGGTCTGGTCTGGGACAAATTATAGTCCAAGTAAAAACATCCTTAGTCTGCTCCAAATTACAATTAGTTCCGCGTAGCCCGGAATTTAAGATTTCTCCCATACATTAGTTTTTAACATTGGGTTGAATGCATTTCATTAAACAAACATTAAACATTCCTGGTGCTCAACTTTAGAATCTGGAGTAAGCAGCAATAGTATCTCATTCCAATCCAACAATTCATTCATAGTTAATAAAGCATGGAGGGGACATAAGGACATTAATGATCTTCCTGTAACTAAATAATCCTTGTGGTGATTGTTTCATTGCATGACAATTTACAAATCAATGACATTCATGGTGAAATGAAAACCGTGGTCACCTATAAATTCTTCCTTGGGTTGAATGCATTTCATTAAACATTCCTGCTGCTCAACTTTACTAGATAATGAAGGTGTTTTAATTTTCCAATTGAATTTCAAACCTTCTTTTGAAATTTATGGACTCCTGTTATAGTTCCAGAAGTAATCTGTAATCTTTCATGAAGTGGTTTTGTTTTCAAGGCTAGTAAGTGTGTTATACGTAAAGAAAGATGACATACATGTAAATTAAGCGTGCCAACATGTAGAAACATGCAAAGTGAGTAAAAACACCTGTCCATAAAGTTACAAACAAAAGGAAACAGTTTTAATCGAGAATTTCTTAGTTTTTATGAAGCTAACTATCTCAAGATGTTATTTTGATTTCTTAAAAATGCTTTATTTTAGGCTGCACGGGTTCTTGGCACTTCACAGAAGAGAGGGTTCGTTTTGAAAGGTATGGAATTTAATTTTAAGTCTATTCATTAAAATGAAATTTTTTTATGTATGATGTTGAGCAATTGCTCATGTAGTATGGATGACCTGTTTTGATTTAAAAGCAAAATATATAAAATACACGTTCCACGTGGTTAGTCAAGTTAAATAAAACCGCACTTCTAACTCTACTACACTACTGGAATTAGAAATCAAGTTTACATGCCTTTGTTTGATAAAAATGTAAGATTATTAACTATGCATCATGTTACAAGATCCAATTTAGAGTTACTTTTGTTTATTATTTAGAAATCATATACTACTACCTTCCTGTCAAGGGTTCCTATAGAGGACGGAGAGGTTAACCAAGCCCGTTAACCTTTGAACTGTTATCCACAAATCCCTATTACTCCATTTGGAGTGATAAAAAGTTCTGAGTTTCTTTTTTTTTCGTTCTTTTAGCATTTTGGTGAATGAAATTCAGAACTTTATTTGGTTTAAATTGAGTAATCATTATTATGTTGGATTATTTCCAATTAATATGGCCTAAGGACCAATATTAATATGTGTTCTATATTTATGTATAATATATATAATCATGTATTATATATATGTGTATTATTTGATGGAAATAATACTTAAGGGGTACCATTGTGGTAACATCCTTTAGGACAAAATTTGAGGAGTTGTGACTATTAGGATTTCTACCTTATTAATACTCCTCCCTTGCCAAACCAAAAAACGTACGTATGAACACCAAGGCTAGGAGAGATCAAAAATCACAACTCTCTAAGTTATATACTCCATCTATCATTTGTCCTATAAGGGATTACACATCCATTCTCTTGAAGCAATGGCATCAACTTCTTCCAAAATCTCTCAAATGAACATTGGATACTCTCCAAGTAAGTCTCCATAAATTTACAATTATGATTAATTGTGTGATGTTATTTGATCTTGGTTATTATGATGATCAGTTTTTCACTTTTTCCATCATATTAAGTTTCAAATTCAAGAGCTGGGGTAAGATATCCCTAGATATTATCATATATTTTGCTAAGAATCATGAAAGAGTTGACTGTAGCGATCGGGGAGGGGGTATTTGTCATTACTCATTAGAACCCTGGGTATATTATACATCACCATCTAACTCACATGGACTATGTTAAACATAGTTGTGACAGTGGACCTGAATGTTAAGCCCCATATTGTACATTGGATCTGCGAACTTAATAACATTTGGTATCAGAGCATTTTTTTCATAACATCGCCGTTAATCTGCGAACTTAATATACGAAGTATCAGTTAACAATAAATCAATTCAAGAGTACGGAAAAGTTTTCTGCGTTTATAAAGGAAAATCAAAACCGCAGTAGGAAGTTGAAATGCAAATAAAATCACTGAATTGAATGGGAAAATGATTACGTAATTGGTTTTAAGTTGGCAAAGTGTATGTAAATTTTTTATGCCATAGTACTCCAAATTAACGAATAACGGGGCATAAATGCATAATAATGGTGTTTGTTTACTGGTTTCATAGAATGGACTCAATGGAATATATGGTATGTTATTAAGTTGTCGTTTAGCCTGCATACATGTTGACACGTTCGATCGTCATTTATCATGTTACATGTGTAATATCATGAGTCATGACTGTATGTATGATGATAAACTCACAAGTGAAGAGTCATGCCTTTTGGAATTAATATTTATGTACCACGTATTATTAATCCAAATATTCATTAATTCACCGTAAGTATGATAGTGCAAAACTTTTGAAAGCACTTTAATTATATAAAGTGTAATGATTACATATGCATATTATATTTGTATTTATTTATAAAACACTATGTTGTGACTGGTTAATTTTTCCGACCATATATATGGAGTGTACTACAATGAATTTTGTATGTATATGAAATTGGTTTATATATTAAAGTTGTTAATAAGGATCGTATCAATAAGGATCGTATTAATATGGAGTATATTATTGTTATTAGTTGTTAACGATTTACATATTGGTTACTCAAATATGATCGTATTTTGAATTGATTTGAATCCAATAAACAATTAACTCAAATTGTCGGCCCAACGGAAGACATTTAAGTTGACTTAGATAATTTCTGCACCCTATTAATGCCTTGAATCAATTTTATATGTATATAAAAAAAATAAGATTATATTCTTTAATTTGGGATTTTATGCAAATTATATGGAACATTATACAATGAACCCAACGGCTAGTTGTTTAATGGTACATATGAGGGCATCACCATTCCTTAGTTTATTTGAAGATTAATTAGATGACGTGTTAGATTATTTCAAATATTAACATTGAGGTAAAGAGATTATTTAGGTGGATTATTTAAAAAGAAAATCCGGTATCAAGATTCAAATCCCAGATTATTGTAGATTATAGTTAAAACGCATTTAATGCATGTCATAGAAAAACTAATTATATGAATATCATTGTTGATCAATACATTTATGTTTTGAGATTATTCAAAATTTAATGTGTAAGAATGATGTGGCAATTAGGTGTATTAGAAAAACCGTTTATTTGAATATCATGAATGGAGATGCTCTGATTGTAGTATCGACTTTATGAACATAGACATCGCATTTCTGCCCAAAGGTGATGTGGGATGCCTATGTAGTAAACTATAATGATAATAATGTCATTAAGTTTAATTATTGGAATTAGCCAAAGTGAAACCAATGATTAAACAAGACATTTTAGTATCTATTATTTCGGTGTTGATAATAGATAATTTTACTGACATATTATTTCGGTGTTGTCAATTATATTTTTTTTTCTCGTTCAATCGTTTTTGCATACACTTAAACTTTATAATTTCCAACAGCCACTTTAACATCAAATTGTGGGATTGAACCCTTAACTGGCACTAATTTTGAGTCATGGAGAGACAATGTCAGATTAACCCTTGGAGTCATGGATCTTGATTATGCCCTAAGACATGATCCTCCCGCTGCACTCACCGCTGAAAGTACTCAAGAGCATAAACGAGTGCATGAACAATGGGAGAGATCAAATCGCATGTCTCTTATGATCATAAAGAATTCCATCTCGGTTGCCATTCGTGGAGCCATTCCGGATTCGGATAATGTGAAAACTTACTTGGACTCCATAGAGGAGCAATTCAAGGGCACCTCCAAGGCTCATGCGAGTACATTAATCTTGCAAATGTTGACAAAGAAATATGATGGTGTGAGTGGTGTGCGTGAGCACATTATGATGATGAGTGACATGGCTAACAAACTTTAGAGCATGGATATGGAGATTAGTGAGGGCTTCTTAGTCCACTTCATTATGACCTCCTTGCCCGCACAATTTGGTCCTTTCAAAATTAACTATAACACTCAAAAGGAAAAATGGAAAATGAGTGAGTTAATTGCAATGTGTGTACAAGAGGAGGAGCGCCTCAAAGTGGAAAGGCCTGATGTCGCTCATCTCACAACCACAAACACTAGCAAGAAAAAGGGCAAGTTCAAGACTCGTGAAAGCTCAAAGGTCCACAAAACTGGTACAAGTGCGCTCGCAGGC